CCTCTGGATCTAAGGAATACCTAAATGTTCGTTGGGTAAACTTGTGTATTTCCACGTCTCTCCGCCGCCTCTGCTGCTTGGATCTAGTCTGAGGTTTAAACTAAGTTCAAATGTAACGGCTAATCCTCCTTCTCTTCTTGTCTTTGTTCCAGTTTGGATGCAATTAGTGCCAACCAAAGCCAAGGTTCATCTTTTTACAACAAATCTTATCAACAGGATTACCTTGGATCCAGAGGTCAGGATGTTTTCCTTCTCTTCCAGCTTGTATAAATAAAATAATCCAAAGCTAAAACCCTGAAACAAAGTGGCCCTCAGCAAATTAATGAAAAACAGAAGGTCTTATAATAAGTTTCTAAATCTGCTGCAGGGATGGGACGGATAAGAAATGCTGGCTGATAATGTGTGAGGAGAGCAAAGGAAGTAAAATCCTTCGGCTCCTGTACCTTCAAACCACAGGACCAAGGTTTCGTTTTTTTATCACGTTTATTTCAGTATAAGTGGTTGTTTAAAACACCTCAACATTGTTTCTCTAAACTTCTCATTTTCTTGCAATCTGCAATACAAGCAAGCAACACATCAACATCGTCAAACATGGCCGAGTTCCACATGGTCCGACTCGGCGTCACATGACGCAAACTATTTGACGAGAGTCAACATTAAGACAGGTGGGAAGCAAACAGTCACATGGTCACCACGAATCACATCCTGCAGAGGCAGAAAAACCCGATTACAGACACGGAAAAGGGCTCCATTAAACCGTCGGATGTGTGTGAGGACGTGCGCATGCATGTGCATCTTTGTTCCTGTCGTAGAAACGTGACATCACATGAAAATCCAACGTGTTGTGATAAGGCATTATGTGGCGAAAAGAAACAGCAGTCAACAGAATCAACATCATTACCAGAAAGATCTGCTTTTTAAGGCCGAGCAACAAAGTGTCTCAGCAGAACTTAAGAGTAGATCCTGTAAAAAAACAACAAAACTAAGCAGGTTTCCTTACATTCCTCATGAAAAGCTTTCACTCTTTTCCAGGCTCAACTTTCATCTGTGTTTCCAGGATGGAGGAAGGAGAGAGAAAAGGAGATAGGATGCAAGGAGACATAGATGTAAGGAAACCAAGGAGGATATGAAGGAAGGACAGAAGGATGCAGCTTTAAACAACAGCAAGGACATGCACGTTTCATTATTTTCTCTGTAGATCCAGGAAGAACCGGACGGTGCGATGCTGTTGGCGAGTCTGCAGACTCCATCTTTGAGCAGAGACGGTGGGCCGACGCTTTAAAAACTACACCTAAAAATACATTCATGACGACGACGTCTTTCACAACAAAACCAGGAGGGGAGAAAGCAGGACGCCGGGGGTTTGGGTTTCAAATGGCTCAGGCCCGGAGGCAAAACCCAAACCAGTCCTAGAACCGGGCCCGACACCCTGAACAGAACCCGGCTGTACGGTGGGTTCAGGGAACAGGAACCAGGGGAGGATTTTTCAGAGAAACGTCTCTTCTGATAGAAAGAAATTTGCTTTGGTTCTGAAAACATTTATGTTAAAATCAACCGTATAAAAACTCCCAGGAAAATGTTTGGTGATCGGCCAGATCCAGGGAGGGTTCTGATGGCGCCGAAGCCCGGGAGAAGAACCCGGCTGGTTTTCTAATCGGGGGGGGTTCCCTTTCATGTCTGAATAGCTGGTATATATCTAACTTTTTATTTCTACCTTACAGAACTGGGCTTTGATCAGGGCCCGGTTCTGACCCGTTAGCTCACAGGCGCATCAGAACATCTTCCTCTTTATCTAAGTTTGGGTTTTAAAAAGGGCCAGCTCAGAACTTCTTGGGCTAAATCCGGGTCGGTCGGTTCTAGAGGCCAAATAACTGCAGAACTTTGGTTCAGGTGTTAATCTGATTCATCAGTTTCTACCCTGAGGGTTTAAAGGTTTATAGAAATCCAGTTCTTAGAAGCAGAGGTCCGCTGTAGTCTCTCTGAGCGCTGCTAGCTTTAGCATCTGGTACTAAAAGATCTGGAGGACGCCATCATGTATCTACTGCAGCTGAGATTTCACCAGCTAACCTGCTTTTAAGATTAAAAATCCCAACTGTCCTTTCAAAGAGCCACGTCAGGTTGACGGCTCCCACCCTCTCCACAGCTCCCAGTTCAAACCGGTTCCTTTGTATCCAGACCAGTCATGGTAACCGGGGGGTGCCGCCCCCAGCACCGGCGTCTGCTCTCACTGTTCCCTGAGAACCCCAAACAAACTTCCTCTGTGACCACAGCTACGACAAACGCTGGGGACAACAAACCCCCTCTTATCCTGAACGATTTAAACATAAAAACAAACATTTTACAAACGGTACAGTGCAGCATTGCAAGGAGAGGAAATTAAAAGCAAATATTTACAAACAGTGACGATGAGCTCGGCTGCGCTCGGATCCTGACGTGGGTTTGGCTCTAGAGAACGGTGCGCTGGTGCTGGAAAGGAAAGGTGTTTCAGGGGAACATTCTGTCCATAATCCACAGTGAACTTCCCCAGCTGCCCGGCCAGGGACGCCAATATCACACCTGCTCAGATAGTACAGCACATAACTGTACTATTCAAAGACGTGTTTCTGACCTGATGAACAAGCTTTTTAACTCATGTTTACAGCGTAAGACTATATTAATATATTTCTCTTTTTCTATGTTGTTCTGTGTTTTTGCATTCTTTATTCCAGTTTGAATGCTTATTTTGGCTTTAAGCAATAAGCGGCTCCGACGAACAGAGTTGAAATTCCAAAAAGGAGTCTATCATTCCCAGGACGAACTCTGATCCTTCACAGCTTGCTTCGGTTTCCGCTCCCCCCGCCCCCATCAAGTCTGAGCCCACAAACACAAACATTTAACATTAGAAAAATAAGTTATTGCGCATCCAAAAAAAGTGCATCGTATCCTTGAAAAATATTTCTCTTTTTTCCCCCGTTTTCCTTCATGTTTCCTGCCAAGCGGGTGGATTCCCACCGATGGATCCGAGATGGCGGGATGTTTCTGGGTGCTCCGATGTACGAGGGGATGGCCAGCTATGCAATGACCATGGGGACGTCGTCGGAGAATCCGCTGATCATCGGAGCATCTTCATCATCATCGCCTAAATCAGAAGAGGACGAGAACAGAAAGGATTTCATTTTTGCAGGTCGTGTTAATTGGATAATTTTCCCAGCAGGAAGAATCAACATCAGCACTGCGAAAAAAAAATCAGATCCTTTGACTGAATTGTTGGGAAAAAATTAGTCGTATTAGTCAAGGCGTGTATCAAGTAGGGCTGTGAATCTTCGGGATTCCCACAATTCGATTTAGAATCGATTCTTTGGGTCACAACTAGATTAGAATTTACGATTCAAAACGATTCTCAGGATCTATTCCAGTCTGCTGGCATGAAAGAAGAGTACATTTATAAAGACTTTTTATTTAAAAATGTTTTATTTACCGATTGCAATAATGTAAACACCAAAAGGTAAATTCTACCAACAACTCTGGGTGATGTCTTTAGAGATGATAAAGGGGATTTGAAGTACTCCTGACATACTTAACTTTACCATTGCATTCTCTGTGAATCGCAAGAGTCATGTCAAGCCCTTTCTTACCCGGGCCGGGTTGAAGGTAAAATCCAAAGTGTTTCCAAATGGTTCCTTTTTAAGACCGTTGCGGCGGTTGAATTTCTTTTTCTTCATCCTCCATACTTTAGCGGCAACAAACACAGTAGCTCAGACACCACTACACACCACTCTGTAGCCTGCTAGGCTAACACTTCCATGCCTGTTCAAAGCTCACACTGCTCACTGGTTTCGCCAAACACTACGGTGCCTGATAAGTAGGGGTGTAAATAATAATCGTTTTGTATCGATGCATGGATCCAACAGCCGACGATCCGATGCATCGATACGTCCGCAAGAGAATCGATTCATGTTTTTTTCCCTCCGGTCTATTTTTATCCATTTGCTCCTGTACGTAATTCTCCTCCCGTGCTGCGGTGGCGCTAAACCTATTTTGCCCTCCTACCTCGCTTCCTGGTTATACTCTTACAGCAGGGTGTTGCAGTGAGCTTGATGCAGACATTTTTGATTTATGCTCAATATTGAAGCGTGGTCTGCGCTACACGCTGTGGGTCTAGATACGGCCGAGGCGGCGAGGAAGTGGGGGCGAGTTTAGTCCGACGACGGAGGGACATGAGGGCCAAAAAGAACGGAGATCCTGGGGGAAAAAGGGTCCCAGCGTTCTCGCGCACCTCGCTCTTCTAGCGGGTCAAACTTGAAGAGTTTTTTTCCGCAATTTCGGTCATAAAAACAAAA